AAAGTCGAATCAAATTCGCAAATTCTTTGATGCATTTGATACTTAGTTTTAAGTATTTCAGGATTAGCACTTCGCACTATCGCGATTTCGTCCTACAGCTAGAAATATTGATATAATTAAAAATAACGAATTAATGAAATAAAGGTATTGCAAGAAAATGCATTACATTTGTTGCACTTTTTATTTCAATTCCATTTTATTACTCGACGTTAAAAGTGCGAAGTGTTATTAGGTCATCGAGGGAAATTATTATCTGCTTGGACATTCGTTTAAATGTGCTCGTGTATGGTCAATGAACTCTAAGTTCATTGATGGTCCATGAGCTGGAAAAGTGAACGCGAAATGTAAATAAATTTTTTAATAATTGAGAATTAAAATTCTAACAAAATACGAGTTTATTTGTAAAATTAGAATGAAAGATCTTATCTTGCTCGCACGTATTAAATGTCCAAATGCAGTTTTCATGGAATGAAGAAAGAAGAGGCTTAATGCCGAAGAGGCCCCCACTTAATTGTGGCTCAAGAGGGCAACTACAGACTATAGAGTTATTTTCAAAGGTTCAACAGCAAGTTTGAACCTTTAGAGAATGGCTCTTTAGTCATATTTTATATTTTATTGTTGTACTTTTTTGCTCGTCATTAATTTCTAGTTGTAATTGGAGATGATGGACCATTCCATCTCCTTGGGACACGAAGTTCGTGTCTAATCGTCAAAAAGATGCATATGTGTTTAGTTAGTTCGAGTCAAACAATTTAAATTCTTTTGTTATTACATTTTGRAKCCTAATTATCATTTTTTGAATATTAAAGTTATCTCTCTTTTCTTTTTTTGTCTTATAGATTTTTAACWGTGATSGTRTTTTTGTAAATTTGTAATTTTTTCTTTTCTATATAATGCAGTTTAAAAGTATTAGTCATAATAATTAATGGATATTTTTTTTCTAGTAACTTGGTGTTTGTACTTTTMCTTTTTTATTTTTTTATTTTTTGTAATTGTAAAGTCACGCGTTTAAATTTAATTTTTTTGCAACGGTAAATAGATTTTTGATAAAAATAAATAGAGCATTTAATTATAAAGTGCATCTGCGAATGGGACGATTTATATGTCAGGCTACTACTGTATCACTTGACTGTATGATTAATATAGTTTTCTTTTTGTTACAGGTGATCTTCGTTGGATTAAGCAGCAAACCAATCACCGTTTTTTATAATACATGTTTAAATGCATTTCTGAAGGCACACACATATTTTTTTCACTAAATATGAAATATATATATTTAAAAATCCATAATAAATATAACATTGAATATTGGCACAGATTTACAAAAGATTTTAAATATATTTTTTAAGAAAATGTTTAATCTAATAACATATCTGTTTCAGATTTAATAATCAGAAGTCGTCGATACCTATATTATTTCTAATATTGAGGTAGGATTAAGTTTGTTTACCTTTTGGAAGATATTTTCTTTTTTTCTTTATTATTATTTTATTAATAAATAATAAAATTTTATTGAATAGTAAATTAATTAATATCAAGTGTACATATTAAGTGAAGCATAACATCGTTTAATCAGACGATTAATACTTATGAATTAGCATATCTATAAATACGATTTACGAATAATATTTTATGACTCAGTCAATTTCTGATTTATCCAATTAACATAATTAATCACATTGACATATACACCTGGAATTCCACTGTCTGCACAACCAATACCCCATGCTACCATCCCAACAATTTGCCATTGATTCCCTGACTGACATACTAATGGTGCACCTCCATCTCCCTATAAAATTATACATTAATTGTTTAATACTTTAACTATAATATAATGAAATGAAATTAATCAAATGATCTACCGTGCACGCATCTTTTCCTGATTCACCTCCTGCACATATAAAGCTAGTTTTATCAAGCGTGAAAAGTTGTCCCACTTTAGTACCACGAAGAGCATTTTCGCAATTATTTTGATTTACTATGGGAACATCAACTTCTTTAAGTATATTCTGATAACTACCTCCAAATGCATTCTTTCCCCAACCAGACACCCAACATCTTTAAAAATAATCATATTAACATATTAATGTATTAGGAAAATAATTTACTTTACGTCTGTTCAATATACTATATATTAAATATATCATAAAAATAAAGTAAATATACCTTGTTGGTGCATTTGGTACTGAAGTAGGAAGACATACGGTATTAATATTAGGGCTACTCGAAATAGGTACAGATGAGCTTAATCTAACAACTGCTACATCGTTCTGAAGATTTTTTGAATTATAAGAAGGATGGACAAATATTTTTTGTACATTGTACTCTTGATAAGGATAAGGTTCAGAAGTACTTTGTCCATTCCATTCACCAAGTCTTATTTTAAGACCACCATTCCTATGAGAAATACGTATAAAATATTGATATTTTAACATAACAAAAAAATAAAACAGAAATGATGTTAGACTTACAAGTAAGGAGTTACTTTATGAGCCACAGTTAGTACATGATTAGCATTAATAAGAGCTCCAGATCCAATATATGAATTACTTGATGTTAAGAGAGCTGCTTGCCAAGGATATTCACCATAACTGGCTATTCCTTCTGGTTGAGAAGTAAGAGCTATTTTTCTTACACCGCAATTACCATTACCTAGATTTCCTGATGTACAGCAATATACCGATCCTGCTGAACACATTGTACCCTATATAATATAAAATAAACATTATAAGATACAAATAATATACTTTATAGTAAATGACATTGAATAAATATATCCATACCATGTTAACAATTCTTATGTCAATGTCATTACCGTCATTACCACCATTACAAGTACCAGCAGCTACACATTTACATCCGGAATCTGTAGTAGTAGTAGGTAAAATATTAATAACATTAAAATTACGCATTATAAATGATTTTATAATTTAATTGTTGAAGAATAAATTAATACATACTTGTAACCGTATTGGTAGTCCCAGTCGTACCATCAAAAACAATCGTATTACTTTGTGCTTTAATACAATCAAGTATAAAGCACACTATCACTGATATATAGAAAAAGTAATACATTTTTCAGATATAAATGAAAAGAAATAAAGAAAAGAACAAAACTTGGTATTTGAACTACTCGATATGATGGATAATAGAATAACTAACATTTCGCAGTCTTATTCAGATTTATATATATTTTCCATTACATGCCCTATATTTATATATCCTTTTGTTATAATTTTGAAACATATTAAGTGAAATATCCAAGCGTGATAAAAGTCTCTAACGAGAGGTTTTTTTCTCCTAACAATAGTTACATTCTATATATAAAGTGTGACACTATCATAAAATAAAATTAATTACTTCCTATTACAATTATATTCTTATTTTGTCACCTATTATACTTATATATAATAATAGAAGTTATAGATCATCGTAATTATCGTCTATTGCAAAATTTCCTGAGCAAATTATTACAAATGAGGGAGATGTATGAATACAAATAATTACGTTAATCGTACTTCATGGAAAATTAAAATGAGGTTAATAATCTGGTATTTCCAACGAAATATGACTCATGCGTGATTTTATTTCAACATTGTTACTTTGGATTTATTATTTGACAAATAGATAATCACGTGTTAGCAAGTATAGATTATTCAAAAAAATAATATTCATTATTAATAACGATATTAATATTTAAGATATACATTTATTAGATATCTAATATAATATGATATTTTTTTATGTGTGCGCTCGACAAATAAATTATAATTACGTTTTCAACAGAATTTTAATTTATTAATCTACATTCATTTAGGAAAATTAATTTAATAAGATATGAAGTATTTAAAGAATAATTGCTAAGAATTAAACTCATTTTTTTCAACCCATTTTCACTAATTTTAAATAATAATAATAATAATAGTAACAACAACAAAATAAATGGAAAACAATACATAGCATAGTCATTCATTTGACGATGATTATTTCCAGGTAATCAAATCATATAATTAAAGACTAGTCTAACTGTAAATTAAAGCTTAATCTTTCTTTACGATTAATAATTCAATATTTACTGAAATATTTATAGAAAAGTTTAAAGAAATACGGAAATATATTGAACTAATTTTGTTAATTTATACTAATATGTAATTGATAATCAATTACATATTGTATATTCCTTATCCATGAAAAGCATAACAAAAATGATACTTTATTGTGATGTATATTATACTAGAAAAAAAAAAATTTTTTGTTCTTATACATTTATATATATATATAAATTATGAAATAAAATTATGTGTATTTTCTTTTAATATTAGATTTTCCAAGTTTTTTATAGCGAGCATGATTCATATGTGACATCACTGTGTAAATACCAGGTATACATAATACTAATAAATAAATGCGCAGAAAAGTTGGAAAATGAAGAGAAAAATTTAAAGAGTTTGGTAAAGATACAGTAAATCGTTGCGTTTCTTCAAAATATGGAATGTTGCGTAAGATAATAATACCTTCGCATATTATACCTAAAGGATACAACGGTATCCATATTGTATATCTTAACCATGTTAAAAAATAAATTTCTACGTTCAATAATTGTGAATTATAGTATAAGTATCTGATAACTTCAACTGCGCTCCAAACAATAAAAAGATAAAATACAACCGGTTTAGTTTGCATACGTGGTTCCCCTTCTATCATGAAGAATAAGACAAATGCTCTGGCTCCAACTTGCATGAAAGGTATCATTACACTACCTTTGGTATATCCAAATAAAGGGTGCATAACTTCCAAAAATTGTAGCAACTGTATAAATTTCATTGGATTTCCAACAACAGTATATGTGTGTTTCATAGAAGCTATAATTAATCAAATAATTACATTTAGGCTAAAATAGAGTAGTATATGTAACAATTGATACACGATGATATAGTAAATACAAACCTGGCCCATCCCGAGAATATTTCAAACCCATTACAGTAAGAACATAAAGAAATCCGACTAATTGACACAAGTTGTAGATGATTAAGTATACTTTCTTAAAATCCTCTGTTATATATAAATTGTTTCTATTAGTATAATGTATAAGGTAAGTATCAATATATTAATTTGTAGATAATATTTATACCTTTCCTATACCCAAGTTCTTCTTTATGCAATTTGTCATACATATCAGGGTAGTCGTTACAAACATCTCTCTTCTCATGCTCATTATCATCCATGTCTTCGCTTTTCCATTTGTCAAAATCTATTTTAAGCCATGGTGGTTTCTGTGGTTGGCCGGTCAATCGTGGCCACCATCCACCACATTTTTTCTTCAACGTAAAATCTATTTGACGGTCAATGACTTTATAATTGCTTTCCTACAAAATCAATTAATGCCCATAGAAAAGAATAATACTTTAGATCATTAATAATAATCTAATAATCAAACATACATCAGGAATAACAAGTTCGTGAAAGTCAATACTGAAACCGTAATTACTGCATCCTCTTGCGCCTTGACCGTATGCGCTAACTTGCAATTTTTTCTCTTGCAAATTAATATTAATATCCTATCAAAGATATTCACACTTTAAACAAAACAAATTCAATCAAATAAATATTAACAATGATTTCCATACCTTAACATTAGCCAAGTCAACTTTTAATGTAACCTGATTCTCAGTTTGAGCCCAATATACAAATGGAAAATACGTATCTGTCATTTTAATATAATTTCTTGTCAACAAATACGTTATAAATTTATTTTAATTTTTCAAGATAAAAGGAATATTAAGTGTAACGATTTTGACACCCTCTGTGAAGTTGGTAAAATATATCTCGTTTCTTATCATTCGCACTCTATATTATATCGCACTTTGCAATACTTATGTTAAATAATATTTAAATATCGAGTAAAAGTGCTTATTCACTTTATATATTCCTTATGAATATAAATAAGTTATTTAAATATACACTTCGTTTAATTCTACAGGTTAAACTAAAATATCTGACCAATTCTCGACTGACCATTGGTCGATATAGTTTACACATTTATTTATACATTTATCGATTAGACTAGATTATTATTAAGACTTTCATTTTGCTTATCACAAAAGTAGAATTTGATCAAGTTATCTTCTTTATAATGATTTCCTTTTAAATTTGAGATATAAGAAACATTGTATAATAAATTTTGTCAGGTTTCTTTTTAATCGACTTCTATATATGTACATACTTACATAATACGGTAAGAGTAATAGTTATTGGGTGGGAGTTGTGATAAACATAACATGTATTATTATATTTTTATTTCAATATATATTCGATCGATCAGTTAATAAAAAGCAATAGTTTTCATGACGCAGTTATAACAAATACAAAAGAAAAAATATTACAAATCATCAGCGAAAATTTGTTTAATTGCGGTGTAACAATATTACATCTAAATTATCATTTGAATCTTTGATGTGTATGTTTGTATGACGATTAAAATATAAATAAATCGAAAAACAATTGTGATAGCATCCATGGATGAATATAATGGACTGTTTACAATGCAACGATTAAACCGTGAAGGTTTTTACAAAACGCGTTTTATTAACATGTATCAACAACGTGTGCTTTCAAGGATAACGTTAATACACATTTTGCGTTGCACTATACGACCAAATATTTTTTTTAAAATTGAAATCGATCTATAAAATCACATAAAAGATACCATTCAGTCAAATTTTCGTTGCAAACTATCCTTAAGAAACATAGCACAGTAGTTTTACAAGCGCGTACACACACACACACACACAACACATATTATATTTATATTTATTTATTTTATATTTTTCTTCTGAAATTCACCTTCTCTTTTTTTCCTTTTTTTTTTTAATTTATTTAATTATTTTGTCCAATAAATTTATATGTCCTAAGAGATGCCGAATATTCGGCTACACGAATCTACAAATTCGTATTCCACATCTTAAGAATAAAAACTTAAGAATCGAAATCCGTAATCGATCAATATTCGTAAAATCGAACGCGCCCTAATAATAATCCTCGCTTGTTCCTACTTTGTTCTTTTGTTGGTTCAATTTACGATCGTAATCAAATTATTTCAACCTTTCAATCTCAATTACACAATCTTAGTGGATACTTATCATTAAATATTCGTGACCGTACAGGTAATATTACCACAATAAGGTAAAAAAATCATTCGCTAAAAAGCACACTTCAAACGTTCCCCATATTAATTCGATGACAAATGTTCGTAAAACATATTTTGTTTATAATACAATATTATTTTATTCGATAAATGATTAACAATCACAATCTTTTCATTGATGAGAAATCAAGATTTATTTTTCTATTGTTAAAGTGTACGAAGTAATTCATCAATGGCACACAAGTATCTACGCGATTGATTAGTTCATTTATTCATTCATCTTAATTTTACGCGTTGATTGATTACTCTACAGACTTCTACAAAAAATACAAAGAAAATTAATGTCATGACAATGAAAAGTTCAATTGTAAATTGCCAATCAAATCAAATCAAATCAAATCAAATATTTTGGAACATTGACAAATACATTATTTCAGTACGACGAACTCTCATAAGTAAGCAGTTGACGAATGATTGTTGGTCCTCGTATTATTTTTTAGATGCGTTTAGCCGTGTATAAAGCTCTTATTAAATGTTACGTAAAGACGTATACATTAATCGTTGTTTATCACATTATTGTATTATAGAAATAAACAATTATAAAGCAGAAACTTTATGTATACCGATCATCGGCATTATCACATTTATGGTAGTAGACGAAAATAGAAACCGTAGAGTAGAAATCGATCTTACCGATCAATAATTATTGTGTAACACGGCCACAATAAGTAGCTAATTCTTGAATTGAGCATGGTTTTACACAGCATTCGTCATATACACCCCTAGATTCCCTTCGGAAACGTCTACCGGCAAAACGGCCCATCATGGCGTTTGCTGTAACTGCCGATCTAAATGGATACGAATCATCGAAACCGAATGGATAATCAGCTATTTCCATTTCTGAAAATAAAACAATAACATGTATTTTATTTATTTTTTCATGAAAAATTATATTTGCGAATGAATTCATATGATTTTACTTGAGTTTAATTAATGTTTAACAAAATGTAATGTGAAGTAAATGTATAAAAAATAAATATCAATCAATACAATGTTATCGCAACTTACCCTGCCCGCTCTTTTTAAACATAGAATTGTAAACTCCATCGCAAAGTAATCCTAGTGCATTAGATAAATTTTGTCCGCAATACTTGTGCAATGTCATTGATTGTCTTTTGTCTTGGTAAGAGTATTGTGTATTTCCAAATTTTATTAAAAAAGACGCAACGATGAGCACAAACGTCGCAAAGACGTTGAATCGATATGTGGACATCTGTAAACAAAGTTTATAAGAACAAAATTTAATAATATAGTCCTAGGGTCTATATAGGTCATCTTATTGAATATCATTATCAATGTGTACTTTGCTTTGAGTAATTAATTAGGCTAAATTTATAAATGAAATTACATGCATTGACATAATGATAATGAAATTCATTTCCTTTTGCGTGATCTATTTAAACTAAATAAAAAGAATAATTATTTTATACATTGATCAAATATAGATTTAAATTTAGAAATATTGATCGATCAATCGTTGAATATTATTATAAATCGCCTAACATTTTATAATCATCCAGGTTGCAGGAAAATCGCGGCTATCGTTAAAACATTTGGCTGGTCATTGCGACATTGTGCACATCGCATAACGCGGAATGAGGATAGTTGTCAGTCTGCTTGTTTATATTTTAGCTCCGAGTCATTGAATCTCCAAGATAAATTATACTGTTGTTTTGATATGCGAAAATAGGGCCGTTATCCACGAGACGCATTCTGGCGCCACGGTGACTGGAGTTCAACCCGTTGATTCCAGAAAAGCTAAGACAGTAGACACCAATTTTGTTCTTAAAATAGAAACAGAGTGGGAGAGCAAGAAATTCAATACGAAATCATTTTCAAGGTATATAAAAATGACAAATACTCCATTGATAAATAATTACTTTGCTATCATATATTCAACGCAAAACTCTCTAAATTGACTTGATTCATTTGTTTTGTTTCTAAATCTATAGACATGCATATCTATAATGAAATTATAAATATTAGATTCTTGGAAAGAGTTTCGAAATTGATAGTAAATCATAACAATTTATTATTATAGGAATTACCGATTTGCGTTTGCAATATCACTTAGTAGACGCGTGCCAGACACGGTGCAAGCAAACAATGACTTTAACATTCATTGTTAGATCAAAACAAAATACATAAATATCTGGGTACGGTGATACCGAACAGAATTAGCGAGTCTAATAAAATTTATCAATGTCTAATAATATAATATTGATATTGTATGTGGCGTTTGCGAGTGAACATCAAAGACGATAACAACTTTCTTTCTYTTCTTTCTCTTTTTCGAAGTTATGCAAGGAATCTGGTTAATCTGTTATTATTTCTTTTCCTTTATTTGAATAACTTCTTTTTTCTTATATTTTCAAAGTATCGCGAAATACATGGAAACGAATTCAATGACCTACGATAAAGTTGTATCCGTCGTACTCATGAGTCAACATTGTAGCAGTATCGAAGGTGCGATGTGCTTCTCTATCTCGTTCAATTTCAACTCTTTTCCAATTAAATTGAAACTACGTCATTTTACGTAGTCGTTGTTGTTACGCTTATCTCGCTCTTATTCGTGAAAATAATCGCAGCATTAGCTTTTATTTATAAAAGGTCAAGATTAACTTCGATATATCCGATAAAGAAACGTATAGAAGAAACAAACATAAAACAATGTCGATTTATTGATAAACAATTATTTAACCTAATGCTTAGAAATGCTTATTGCTAATGCTTAGTTTTAATGCATGTATTAACAAAAAAAAAGGAAAAATTACATCGTGTCCTAATTTGTCATTAAATTGGAACACGCTTCTAATGCGTACCATTTCTTGATTTTTAAATGACGAGTTTCTCCAATGATAAATAATCCGTGTATATTCATTAATTTTCTATATTCTGACGATTATAAGAAAAGAAAAGGACTGTAAGGAGAGTTCACATGCTCTCCTTGATAACGGATTGTCCGCAAATTGATTGAAAAGAGGACTCATTCCAGACTATGACCCATTGTTGCACGCATTAATTACTTTTTCTTTCTTTCTCACTCCCTGTCTTTCATTATTATTTGAAGCGCCACTGGCTGAGACAAGTAATAAACACGTGTATATAACGGTCGGAAAGATAATACACGAATGCAGTTATAGTCACCGAGAGGGAATGCACTCATCTTTGACGAATGCTCGCTCTCATAGTAGGGTGATCGACTTTTCCGATTAAAAGTCTAGCTACTTAGCTTGGGAATCTTAAAACTTCGTTTTAATACTTCATGAAGAAATAAATGACAAACATTTGCTGCTTCATATTCAAACACGTGTTTTCCTAACAACATTTCTATCCATTTTGTCAACGTTATAAAACAATAAATTACATTTATTTAATTCTTTATCTTTTGTTTGATCTAACAAAATAATTAATTAAAAAAAAAAAATGATCATTTATTTATTTCGTAAACGCTGTAACGAGTCAGCAGCAACATCATCTGTCTTTAAACAAGATACAAACTTCGTACTTCGACTTTGCGACAAAGAAGAAGAAGAAGAAGAAGAAGAAGAAGAAGATAATTATTTGTCTTTTTATTTCCTTCTCCTCCTCCTACTTTAGATGATTTCTAATCTAATCTCTTTCTATTTCTCCTTTTTCTCTTTCTCTTTCTCTCTCGCTTTCTCTGTTTATCTTTTTCTCTAATTTCAAATGAAATTGAAAAAAAATCTAATGTTTACATTGTGCAATGAAAATCTTAATTCAAACTCGAAAATATAAACATATCTTGAATTTAAGTATTTAAATATTACATTTACATTTATTTACCTCTTCCACGCTCTCACGTCTTTCACGTCTGTGTATTTTTCCAGCTGTGCTTTATTTAAATATTTTTCAAAAATTGCAAAATCAACGGCCGGTAGATTTCCGTAAATCTCTCCTCGATATAAAAGTCATTCTCGAACGAATCACCCCTAATCGACTTGACGCGCGATTTCTTACAGGTGACATAAGTAAAGATCACCAATTGAGCTTTCCTCTTACACTCGTACTAACTCTTGCCTAAGTCACTCTCATCAAGTATCACAGTTTTATTTTTTTATTAATTATTCAATCCAAACATTCTTCTTTTTAAAGGATTTGGATATTTTTATTTTGATATTTTAAACAGGATCTATGTCAATATAAATAATAATATAAGTAAACGATTTGAATCCTTTTCCTTGATCCTTATTATATACTTCGCGAAATGAAAGGAAGACACGTCTAAACTGATCGGGCGCCAACGGACGACTCCGTCGCGTACGGAGAGGAATGCAAACGAGCTAAAGATTCCTACATACGTATTTACATTGTTGTTATTTTCTATAGTTCAGATTTACGAACGTTTGTAATATGTTATATAACATAGTATACAAATACGTAATAAAACAATTTTAAAGAGCGCAGAGTAGAGTAAGCATTGAAATGTTGTTTCTTATAAAACGATAATAAATTTTTCCTTTTAGTATTACACTATTTTCCACAATTATATACTGTAGATAATATTACTAAAATATGTACACGTAAATAAATAAGTAAATAAATAAATAAATATATAAGAAAATATTGATTTGATTTAGAAGTAAATTTTGAAGAAAAATAATAGACTCTCTCTTCCTTGGAGATGGAAATACTCACGTTGAAGATACACAGTAGTTATCCCTAGCCGATGAGAAGAACGTACGAAGTATGACGATCCAAAAGAGGACGACCTCCCTTATAAACGGTCTGGCAAAAAAATTCTATTCAAGGTAGACGTGTTCATTACACACGTTAGAAAAGCACCTGTCATCTTGTTTTAACTTAACACCAACAATAACATCACGTTCATAAGGAAAAGCAATCAACCGTAAATCGTTCCAATTTTACCCCCAACGTTCTATGCGTTCATATATGTACGTTTTCTTGTAATTCTTGAATGACTTACTTCCGCTAGATATACTTCCAATTTTATTTATAAGCCAAGGAACGTAAACAGGTCAACAATCGATTAGTTATCCCTGTGATCCTAAACTATTTTTCTTCTTCTTTTTAATATAATTAACTCCTCTTCAGTAAATCATTCTTCAGTGAACTATAAAATGTATGTGCTTTAATGTTTGAATTTATAAATTTTCTTCCCATTTTTATTTTTGATGTAAAAATCATTTATATATGCAGACTAAATTATCTTTTGAGTACATTTATAAACGTTTCTCGCGGTAAGACAATATTTCCAATCATACGCATCTTGCTTTTTCCCTCTTTTTGTTTTGCCAATAATTTCATTCTTCTTGTGACGTCACCTCCATACTAAAAAGATGTATAAATATATATAGTTTTTTTTTTTTTTTTTAACACACACAATTTACATTTAATCGATCATCATTTATAGCAAATAAAGATATAACTCTATATCTTTTGGTTACCAATTTTGCTGTTACGTCTTTCCTAAATGCTTTCAAATTTTCCCTCGAAAGTATCTTGCCTCCAACAGCTGCTTGAATTGATATTTCAAACGATTGTCGTGGAATGATGTCCAAAAGTTTAGTACACATTCTTTTACCAACTTCTTTTGCTTTAGTACAGTGTACTATTGTACTTAATTCTTCTATTACTTTACCATTTAAAAGAATATTTAACTGAAAACAAAATAATCATTAATTATTAAATGACAATATATTCAATGAATTATTGTTACTTTTACCTTAACAATTTCTGAAACTTGATAATCATCATCTTCATAATCAAAACTAGCATATCCAGAAGTGATGGTTTTTAATTTATCGTGAAAATCAAGGACCACTTCATTTAATGGCATTGAAAATTTTAACAACGTTCTATTATTTCCGATATTTTGATTTAATTTTTCAATCGCACGCTTTTCAAGACATAAAGACATTATTGGTCCTATATATTCATCTATTTAAACATATGTATATTAATATATGCTAATAATAATATATATGTTAATTTTGATTTGAACAAAGATATACCTGGTGTTATAATAGTACCAATAATCATTGGTTCATAATATTCTTCTGTAATTTGTTTGTCAGGATAATCAATAGGATTATTGAAAACAACAATTTCACCTTTATACAGTGCTATATTTTTTTTTCCTATAATTTTGGCCTTGTATGTAACACCTGGTGCTGTAACTATTGGTTCTGCACCATATTCTTGCTCCAACCTCTGTATAAATACTTCCATGTGCAAAAGCCCTAAAAATCCCGCTCGCCAGCCACGTCCTAGTGCAGCACTAAAATTAATTAATAACTTAAGTATATAAACGTTTCATTTTATTGCATATCCGCTAAAATAATAAATACCTAGAACTTGGTACAACTTCCACGGCACTATCGTTTAAAATAAGTTTCTCAATCGCACTTTGTAATTTAATAAAATGTGATTGATCCATAGGATACACTCCTGCAAATACCATCGGTTTTACTGCTTTAAATCCACCTATTGGTTCCACAGGATGACCTTTTTTGTATAAAGTATCCCCAATGTATGCTTCTTTGGAAGTTTTCATATTACACTTTATACTTCCAACTTCTCCAGCGAATCTATAAGTAATATATTTTCATTAAAATCATATATATTACATATTTAAAGGTACAAGAAAATATACACAAATAATGTCTTATACTTACAAAGTTTTAACATGTTCTTCCTCGGGTCTTAAAATTGCTAAATCTTTAACTTCATAAGACTTTTTGCTAGCAAAGGATATAATTTGTTCTCCAACAGATAAACTTCCATCCTTCACATAGATTAAAGAAACAGCACCTTTATATTTCTCATACCAACTATCAAATATAAGACCACGAAATGGTAAATTTCTATTTACAGGTGGAGGTGGAAGTCTTTTAAGTATAGCTTGTAATAATTCTTCAACTCCTGTACCTAACTTTGCAGATATTTTTAATACGTCGTTTCCCTTAATACCAAACAATGTTTCCAACTGTTTCTTTACTCTTTCAGGATCTGCAGCTGGTAAGTCTATTTTATTTATCACCGGTATTACTACAAGCTCTGTTTGAATAGCTAAATAATAATTAGCAACGGTTTGCGCTTGTACTCCATCATTTGCATCAACTAATAATACAACACCTTGACAAGCTGCTAATGAACGATATACCTCGGATGAGAAATCTACATGGCCTGGAGTATCTATCAAATTTAAAAGATAATTTTGTCCTTCGTATGAATATGTAAGAGAAGCGGTCTGAGCTTTAACCGTTATTCCACGTTCCTTTTCTACTTGCAATGTGTCTAATACTTGTTTGCCTGAATTCTTTTTAATGGCACCAGTCATTTCAAGTAGTCTATCAGCAAGGGTACTTTTACCATGATCAACATGAGCTATTATACTAAAATTACGAATATTTTCAATGGGTACTTCATTATTTTTTTCAACATTTTTATTCGTACTGTATGTTTCCTTTTGCATATATAAACATCTTCTAAAAGAATATATTATCATAATTATATTATATCTTAAAGTTTAAAGAAATCAATATCAAAAATAATTAACAAAAAAAAACTCTATTTTATAACCTATACTTACGTTCCATGTTTAATTTTTTCTGTATTATGGAATATATAATTAATTTGTAATCTATTTAAACGTTTTACAAAGTTACCGAATAACATTATAGAATAGAAAATAAATATACGTATATATATACATATGATGTATATATTTATATTATTTAATTCTAATTATTAACAACCAGATTCCATTGCATCTAAAGTCCATTGTAAATAGCATACTCTCTTCTAGGTTAATGAAAATATTTTTTCCTCTATTATTTGCTCAATAGAAAATACGTTTCCTAATTATTTTCTCACACTATTTTTTATTATTATCATTAATATTATTATTTTTCATTAATTTTTACAGAAACTAAAAAATATATTCATATTCTATAAGCAGCAAATATTTTAATATTATATTTGCCTCATATCGCGTAATTCTATGCAACTTTATGTAATTTTTTAATATTTTAAAGTTGCATCGTTTTAAATATAAAATGCAAAAAGTACCTTTCAATAAAAAGTTACATTACATAAAATACATAAATAAGAAAATGTATATACATATATGTATATATATGTATATATATCTAAACACATTAAAGAAAAAATTAAATAATTTTAAATTATAGCGCGCATAAATATGATTGAATATTCGGCCACCGGGTGGCGTTGTCAGCGGCGCGAAGCTCGGATCGATCGTATTAGAGCGATACATTTTTTTAAATAGATTAAGAAGAGTAGTCCTGTAATACGATATATACTTAAATTATTTTGGTACGTATAATATATAGAAATGGCTGATTTATCATTAGAAACTCAAAGAATAAGTAATTGATTTTACTGAAGAGTTATACGCCGAGTTTGAGGTCATACTCTTTTCTTTTTACCGCGTATACTTTAGATCGCTTAACGATTAGCGCTGCTCTGCAGCGACGTTGCCAGATTTCCACAGTCTATTTCATTTACGTATATGTGACGCGCGTGCGGACAAATGATACTCAATATTCGCGCTTTATTTACTGTTCATTTGTGAAATTTGACGACACGTGTATTAAAAAAAATTTTATTGGTCAACCTTCATCCTCTTTTAACAACAACAATTATATTCGTGAGTGTTTAATAATATCGTTTATACGTAACAATGACTCGACTACGAAGGCACAAATTTTGCTTGCCAATATTAATGACATCGGAAAAAATTGATTTTAATGATATGTAAAAATAGAACATTTCTTATACGTAAAGGTAGATTCTTTTAAAAAATAATAATCGATATATTTATCTAAGTACAAATAATCTAGTCGTAATATTAGTAATACTGTTGAATATTTAAAATTAAGTTGATACTAGGTTTCAAAACACGTGTAAGTTTTATATCAAATATTTAAATTTGTAGAGATTTTTATTAAAGGAATATTCATTTTATATTACATTTGGATTCATGTTATAGTATAGTTTTAATACGAATAAAGTCTTATTTATTTATTTTTAATATTTAATGAATGCCCGCATAAATGAAATATTAATAAGAAAAAAAGAAAAAAGAGAAAAAAAATAAAGGGATAGATTTAGTTCGATCACGCGCCTTTATTTTCTGTAAACCCGCTTTTCCAAAGATCTCTTTGTAAACGGGGATAGATTTGGCAACAGCGCTTGCAATGTTACGCAAGGCAGCTGTAGTCAGCGCGTGTGTTTTTGTATTTGCAACGCGATGCACCGTGGGCCGGGCAAAAGCCAAGATGGCGGCAGCCGTGCTTGGCTAAACGCGTTTAGAATGGGCTTCTCAAATACATACCACAAAGATGCTTCGGCCTAAGCGTACGTTAAATTCAACGCATTGTGATTTCTTAGTTCACAGAATAAATATCTAACTTGTGGAGTTAGACGAGTGATGCTTACTTGGCGCGACATCTAATAAAAACCCGTAACGAGGGAAAAAAAAATTTTCATCTCGTCTACTCTATCAGAATTGCAGAAGGTTCCTTCGAAGGAGTATATCTTCATAGACGATCGTGTTCATCGTTTAATTATATTTTCATTTCTCATCGATAAACCGGAAAGGAAAAAGACATTTTTTCAATCATGGTAAGTTGTTAATGTCTTTTTTTGTAATATTTTCATTGTTCCATTCGCAACGACGCGCGCTTCTTATGCATGCGCTTTTTTCTCATAGCTTCATGAGAAAAACTAACCTAAGAATTTTTTGTATATCTTTTTTTATCATTCATTTTTTTATTCATTTATACCATAGATCGTTATACATTTACATTTTTTTTTATTTTTTCATATTATTTTGCTTACATTTTATAAAAATTCATAATTGTTTATACCGAAAACCGTTGTATTCTCTTCTTTTTTTTTTTTCCTTCCTTTTGTATATTCAAAAAATCTATTGTATTTTTTCATCACAAGTAAGTTCTTTTTTTATAATTTATTGCGTTTATTAAAGTATTAATTTGTTTATAATTTTCTTGTTCTATATCAAAGTTGAATGGTTTCCTAAATATCTGTGATTTTGTTTAAATAGTACTTTGTATAATTTGTTATTAATTAATATAAGTATATCATTATAATGGTCGATTTTATTCTTGTATAATTATTGCATGATTTATGTATTTAGGCAACGAAAAGATTTAAGGAAACAGTGAGCGACGATACAAGTGGTAGTGATTTCGATGATGATGAGGATCCTGATAAAATCGAAGTACCAGGTAAATTTCTTTTTTTTTTTTATTCATAATTAGTTATATCTTTAATGATATAATATATCATTATTTAATGTTATAAATCTATTCTTTCTTCATAGGCGGTGGTAAAGATCTTGCAACTGCTGCTGGAATTGCAAATATTAAAGACGAAAAGCCTGCTGAAGTACCATCTAATGTTGCAAATAAAGGACAAGCTGCTACTAATGGTATGTTCATTGTAACAAATAAATTTCCTTATTTATCACTTTTGTTTATATACATAAACCAATGAATTTGTTACAAAAAAAAAAACTGTCACACAAAGTATTACTTGTGTAATATTTATTTGGCAGCGTTGAATCAAAAATTGAGTAACAAAATACCAGGTGGATTAGTAACTAAGACTGCACCACCAGGGTATGAAATGGTACGTGTGGGAGGATCACAAGGTACTCCCCCTAATTTTGTTGGTACCAACCAACTTAATCAGTTAGGTCAGTTAGGAGCTGGTGGGCCCTATAACTTTCCAGGTTTAGCAAGCCTTGCAGGATTCAACCCTGCAGCATTTTTACAGCAGAGTAAGTCTGTAATTGATTTGTCTTTTGCTAACCTGGGTATATTTCTTTGTTTAATTTCTTCTATTTTTTTTTTTTTTTTTTTTCGAATATTTTATTATGTTATTCAAATATGTATATGATGCTTTTATGTAGATCTTATGATTCTTTAACCTGGATATATTTCTTTATTTAATTTCTTCTATTGTTTCTCTGTTATTTTATTATGTTATTCAAATATGTATCTGATGCTTTTTTATGTAGATCTTATAATTCTTTAGATGTTTAGAATAATTGTTTATTTAATGATATTACTACAGGTATGGACATGAATAATTTAATGGGAGGCTTCATGGGAATGGCTGGAATGAATATGGGCGGTGTCAATCCGTTCGTACAGTTTCTCAATCAAACTGGACTTCATCCAAATTGGTCTGCAGGTCTTTCTGGTAAGACTTAAATACTTTGTTATTAATGTTTCATATTACTCTTCTCTCGATTTATTATAATTATAATTATAATAAATAGGGAAAGGTGTATCACAATTATGGATGAATTCAGGTGATCCGACAAAGGTGGGCATGCAACCAACAATACCGGAAGAAGAAGAAGTAGATGACGAGGACATGGGTGTTGCTGAAACTTATGCTGACTATATGCCTACTAAACGTAAGCATGTTTTATTTTATTATTGATAATGAAAAATTCAAACAAGTTTTCTAACGAGTTTTAAATTTCAAATGTATAGTAAAACGTGGGCGTAAACATCCTGATCCAGTTGTTGAAACAGCATCATTATCCAGCGTAGAACCAACAGATGTTTGGTACGAACTTTCTATACCAGAAGAAACAATACGATCAGGAGCATTGTCTGCTCTTCAATTGGAATCAATTACTTATGCATCTCAGCAGCATGAACATCTTTTACCGGATGGTTCACGTGCTGGATTTCTTATTGGAGATGGAGCTGGTGTTGGTAAAGGACGAACTATAGCGGGTATTATATTCGAAAACCATTTAAAAAATAGGAAACGTGCCATTTGGGTATCCGTTTCTAATGATCTCAAATACGATGCTGAGCGTGATTTAAAAGACATTGGAGCATTGAAAATTGACGTACATGCGTTAAATAAGTTTAAATATGCTAAGATTTCTTCAGCTATTAATGGAAACGTTAAAAAAGGTGTAATATTTAGTACGTATTCGGCATTAATCGGTGAATCCTCACAAAGTGGAGGTAAATACAAAAGTAGATTAAAACAACTTTTGCAATGGTGCGGAGAAGATTTTGATGGATTAATTATATTTGATGAATGTCATCGTGCTAAAAATTTATGCCCCACTGGAAGTTCTAAACCAACTAAAACTGGTTTAACAGTATTGGAATTACAAAATAAATTGCCCAAAGCACGAGTAGTATATGCTAGTGCCACTGGTGCTTCTGAACCTCGCAACATGGCTTATATGGTACGATTAGGTATGTGGGGTGAAGGAACACCTTTTCCCGAATTCAATGATTTTATTACTGCAGTAGAGAAACGTGGAGTAGGTACAATGGAAATTGTAGCGATGGATATGAAATTGAGAGGAATGTACATTGCTCGGCAACTTAGTTTTCATGGGGTTGCTTTTAAAATCGAAGAAGTACCTTTGTCCAAGGATTTTACCAAAATTTATGATCACTCTGTAAGATTATGGGTAGAGGCTATGCAGAAATTCCAAGAAGCAGCCGAATTAATAGATGCTGAGAATCGTATGAAGAAAACAATGTGGGGTCAATTTTGGTCATCGCATCAACGCTTTTTTAAATATCTATGTATTGCAGCTAAAGTTAAGCATGCCGTTTCGGTAGCTCGAGAAGCTGTTAAATGTGGCAAATGTGTTGTTATCGGTTTGCAATCAACTGGTGAAGCACGTACTTTGGAACAACTTGAACGTGATGATGGAGAACTAAGTGATTTTGTTTCTACTGCTAAAGGAGTACTTCAAACTTTAGTGGAAAAACATTTTCCAGCGCCAAATCGTAATAGAATTCATCGTCTTCTCGGTTTGGATCTACCAAAAATGAATAAATTAGAAGAAGATTTTGTTGATGGGGCTGGTGGATCTGCTGGAGGAAG